AGGGGTGCAGGAAGGACTGAATGGAGGGGTGCAGGAAGGAAGAGAGGAAGGGATGCAGGAGGGAACAAGAAATGGGGGAGGGGGAAAGGGAGGGGACAAATGTCAGTCAAAGGTGTGTGCCTGGCCTCTGCCTCCTTTTGCACGGGGTTCAGCTCTGTTCCACGGCCCTTTCCGCTAGTTAGGAAAAGGGGACTTGAAATACGGGCGAGCATGAGCGCAGCGTGAACCCCGGGTAGAAACTGGAGAGGAAGCCTGCACCTCAGGGGCTGCCCCGTGCATCCTTTAGCAGCTGACGCCCTTGGGGGGGGGACTGAGACCTGCCCGAGACTGTACCTCCCGTCTCAGGTCCGGCTGTGCTCACACCTGACGTTTACCTGCATGAGGGAGCACATGCGGACTGTCGGGGAGTCTGCGTGAGACACCAACCCCCTCCCCACCCCAGAGGGGCGCAGAGCGGGGACCCGGTGCGCGCCGCCCTGGCCGTGAGCGCCCTGCAGCCCTGCGCCCAGCCCCCCTGTCACTCACTTTCCTTGCAGCCAATGGCGCGGCCGCCTGTCAGCCTCGCCCCGCCCCCCGGGGCCGCGCCGGGCGCGCGGGCGGCCGGAGTTGAATGATTGAACTTTGCAGCCGAGTCGCGGCGGCCGCGAGGTGCCCGGCAGTGCGGCCCCGGCGCGGAGCGGGGAGCCTCGGCCAGCGCCCGGCGCCCGCGCCCCCCGACCCGCAGCCATGGCGCCCGGGGCGCCCGGGGCCGCCCTGACCCTGTGCCTCTGGCTGGCGGCCTCCGGGGGCTGCATGGCCGGCGGTGGCCCGCGCGCGGCGGCGGCTGCACGGCGGGGGGACGAGTCGCTGTCGGCCGGGAGCGTCCAGCGCGCCCGCTGCGCCTCCAGGTGCCTCAGCCTGCAGATCACGCGCATCTCCGCCTTCTTCCAGCACCTCCAGGTACGGGGACCGCCGCGCCCCAGCTCCTCGCGCGGCGCGGCCGCCGGGTCCGCTTTGCAACCGGGGTGCTGGGCCCCCCCCTCCCCATCGCCCCCGAAAGGAAAAAGAAGGGTGCAGCCTGTTTGCATAACTCCCCTCTTCGCAGCGGAAAGTCAAAGGCGTTATCTGGGGGGGGGGCGGAGCGCAGTTTTGTGGGTTCCACGGGCTGGGGATGCGGGGGGGCTCGTTAGTTTCCCGGGACTTCGGCGCGCGGCGCTGGGCAGGGCTGGTGCACCCCCGGCGCCCCAGACAGGGAGTTCGACACTGCTCGTGCGTTCCAGAGTCTGTGTTGGGGCGCGGCGGGGTGGCGGCGGCTGGGGGCGCCCCGATTCCGAGCCCAGCGCTTCCAGGTCTCGCCAGGGGACGGCGCGGAGAAGAAGGGAAGCGACGCGGGGCCGCGTTTGGATGCGCCGAGAGGCGTCCTGGGGTCCCTACCTGCCCAGCCCTCATAGCTTGAGGGTGGGGACGGTGGTGTGCAGGCGTTTCGGGGAGAAGCACGCCCGTGGAGGGGGTCCGCCGTGGCGAGGACCCCCGCGGGCCCTGCGTGGGAACCCCGGGTGCAGGGCGCATGGGGCGCGGCGCGCAGCTGCCTCCCCGCGGGGGTCCGAGCGCGCGCGCCCTGAAATCATCCGTGCAGACAGACGCCTCATTCCCGTCGTCCTGCCGCCGTGCTCGGCCCTGGCCTCCTCGCCTGCACCCTCACCTGCTCAGCAGGGCCAACACCCCAACTTCTCGCCGCAGGGGCAACTGCGGCGGCCGGAAGGAGACGGGGTGACTAGGGCGGGAGGGCCTCCCGAGGGGTGTCCAAGATGAGCCCCCTGCACCGGGGCCTTCCAAGGGGCCTGGGAGTTAAGCAGCGAGCGGAGACGGTTGCAATGACCGCGGACGTTGGGACGAATCTCTGCAGCCTCCGGGGACGTGCACACGGGCGTTTGGCAGCTCGCGAAGTTGGCGGGTGCGTGAGCGAGCGGCTCTGTTCCTTCTCAGAGCAGCAGCGTCTCGCTGGTTTCGGAGAAGCTGGCAGCCCCGCGACCCTCCCGGGTTTTGGGGAAGGGAAAAACCGAGGGCTCCTGGGCCAGGGTGAAATTCCGCGGACATCCTGGAGAGGGCTCCTGCCCGGCCACCTGGTGTCCACGCCGCGCCGCCCTGAGAGTCACCCTCCTGAGATGCTGCTGCCCGGGTTGGTGAAACAACGCAACAGGCAAGAAAACACAGCGCAACAGGCAAGAAGACAGAGCGCAACAGGGCAGCCCCTTCCTGGGAGAAAGAAAGAGTATCTTTCTCTTTTCTAGTGAATTGTCAGTTGCTGTAATTTGTTTGTTTTACAGTTTCAGCCGCGAAAGCAGCAGTGTAGGTCAAGCCAACTCCCATGAAAGGCTTTTTTTCTTGTGGTCTTTTGGCATCATTTCTCTTTGGAAGAAAAACTGCTGAGCGGAAACACATTGCCAGACAATCCTGATTACGTTTTAATTAGCTGCAAATTACTCAGTTAGGACTTAATAACTGCTGCTTTTGCAATCAGTTGCAAAGCCCACGCTCTCGGAGGGTGAACCCTACCTGTAATGCCTACCTGATTTATCTAAATCGCAGGGATTAAGGCTTTCTTAAGATTTTAAAAAAGACAGCAGCGGGCAGCACGCTCACCTTATAAAACGTCAAGCTTCCCTTTTTAAAATAATTGGGAGGACGTGGAAGGATCGGCTGCAGCCAACTTATTACACTAGTGGCATGTGGTGTTTATTAGAGGGCTGGAAAGGCGGGCTTACAGGGTGCTTTTGGAAGAGCTCCTTTTATTAGGGTCACCCCACCCCACCCACTTGTGCATAGAAACCCAAGCAGAAAGAAGGCCGTTTCTGCAGCCGCCGCCCGTTTCTAATGCCTGTTCCACAGATCTGGGCGTCCTTTGAAGGATGGAAGCGGGCTGGCCTCCCTCCATCCTTGAGGCCAGCCAGGTGTGGGGACTCAGGTGTGAAAGCTGCCACCAGGCCTTGGCCGGGAAAAACCCAGCCTGTGGCATCATGGGTGGACAGAGAACCAGCAGGGGCAGTTGCCTGCGTACTGCTCAGGAGGCTGGAGGCGAATCGTCTCCACCCCAAATCTGTGCATTTTCCACGTCTCCAAGGCCTGCCTCCCAGCCCTGGAGGCCTGGAGGTCCATGGCGCACACCTGGTGCCTCCACGTCTGCGGGGCTGGGTCGGCCTCACCTGTCAGCCACGTGGCTGTCAACCATCCCTGAAAGGAGAAGCCTCTTCATACTGATGCGTGCAGGTGGGGGTGGGGGATGGGAGATACCTGAATTATCAGGCACACACAGCCCTGACCTGGAGGAGCTTAGAATTCCGTACTGAATGGGAGACGGAGTCGGAACTGCCTCATTTCACTACCGAATGCTGCCCCTCGCTCATGAAGCGAAACAGGACAAGTTAGCACCTCACAGGTTATCAGCATCCAGCTTGGGATGCTGGGCCCAGGCGCCTGGCACGTTGTCAGCTCAAGTTCGCGCATATCCCGTGTGCCTGGGGTTACACTCCTGCCATCGGAGGCTGGTGGGAGTTGTATCCCTCTACCAGTGGGATGAAGGTGAGGTCCGGGCTGAGGGTGTGGAGCAGGGTCCAAGCAGACGTGCTGGGCGTGGAGCCCTGCCGCCTGGCAGAGGGGTGGCTTGGGGCCGACCACCATCCTGACCGTCCAGCCCGTCCAGTGGGAGACGAGGGGCTGCCGGGAGATCATAACACGACCTGTTGGGGATGATGAGAGTGGTGCTGACACTCACTGGAGCCAGTCCCTGTTCTGAGTGTCATGCTATCTTAATCCTTACAATAACCGTGCCAGGGAGACCAAGGAGCACCTTATCTCTCCCTATAATTGATAAGGAAGGATGACGCTGAGAAGACAGGCTTGCCACACGGCCAATAGACGGTGGGGCTGGGCTCCCAGTGAGGGCAGCTACTGGGTCGGCGGTTTGTTTTCAGTTTTAGGATTTTGTTAGTTAATTGGTTCATTTACTTCAGGAGTGACGCCCTGATTTTTGGGACCCGGCGCAAAACGAAAACACGTGGTCGGTCCATCACTCCAAGAGCAAGGCAAAAAAAATGTTCAAGGCGCTAAAATGGAAACCGTTTTCCTTCCTTTTGTGGCCCTTCTCTCTCGACGTGTCCTGGTGTTTTAAAGTTATCAGTATAGATTTTACTGCTTATATTGTGCCATGCCAGTGTTACGCTCAAATGTCAGAGCAGAGCACTCCATCTGTGTGCAGAATTACCAGTATCACACAATTTGGATGTCCTGGCTCGTTTCTGGAGGGCGGCTTGAGACGACTGGAAGGACATGCAGAAACTCAGGAAGGTGGGAAGGAGGAAGAGAGGAACCCCTCTCCCCCATCCTCTAGCTAAAGTGCACAATGTGAGGTACGGCCAATGGGCACCCCACAAAGGGACCTTGCGGACGCGTGTAGATCTTCATAGGTACCTGGGGCCTGGCGTGCACACGTTTCCTCAGGCATGACGCTTGCCCCGTGCCCTGTTCTGCCTGTCGCTGCACCCATGTGTTGCACCTTCTTCTAGACAGATCCTTGGGAAGTTGAACCAGGGACATTCCTAGCAGAGACCCCTCCTGCCTCGGTGACTCTGCTTGTGGGTGCCACAAGGGAGCCGCATCTCGGAGCCCAAAGATAGAGTCACCCCGCTGCTATGTAAGGGTCAGCAGACCTGCCCCTTGCTCTTTTCCTGCCTGTGTTTTCTCAAAGGCCACTCCTGAGAATAAGGCTGGAGGGAAACAGCAACCCGTGGGCAGCAGGGAGGGGGAGTATGAATTTGCCAGAACTCGGGACTGCGTGAGAAAGAAGTGCATGGGATTTTGTTGGAAGGTAAGCACAGGTTGCTGGCAGCCTCGGCCCCTCGTTCTAGAACTGTATTAGTGTTCAGAGAGTCTTGCCTAATGGGACGTTATTCACCCTGGGAAGTACCCCCGATAGGCTCCTCTGCGCAGCTGATTAGACATCACAGGCCTCCCCCAGCAGTAATGGGGAGCTGTTTGTTTTGGCAAAAGTGAGAACTAAGCCGGTGATTAGCTCCTTCTACTTAAGAGGACCAGCCTCGCCTCCAAGAAAAAGTAAACAAACAATTAAGGCATCAAAAACCCTTAGCAGCCACAGATCCACCCCAGGCTCAGCGATTTTTGTGGCCAGTCTCCGCAGCCCTGGTGTGTCACTTGCCCTGCTGTGAGTTGTACGTTATGTGCCTGGGTGGCGAGGTGTTTATAGACCGTCGCTGGGAATCAAGGCCAGCCTCAGCTTTGGCTGTCACATTCCCCCGTCTGGGTCCCTGGATCTCTGGCTGCGTTTCTAAGAATTTCTGAATTTGACCCACACGAAACATTAGGGTACCCATGGCAAAGTTTCATGTTTTTAACATAGTTTTTCCCCCTTGTACGTGATTGAAAAGTCCATCTCATTATGACTATCGTAGGACATTTTAAAAGCACGTTAGAAAACAGTTATTGACTTGTTCGTGTCTGTGCACCATATCATTAGAGGAGAAATAAATATTGATATATTGTATATATTTATGTATATGAGTATACATATGTGATACAATGTATACATGTGTGTGTTTCGAGGCCTCTGTTAAAAAGTTAATGCTACTGGTGCGAGGGTTTCGACTTTAAAAAACTTAACTGTAAATGAGGAGGTTATTCTATTTCTTGGAAATGGACTCCCCAAATTCAGTGTGTAACCTACCCTTGTATGTTTCAGTGCGTGACTTTAGGGTTAGGTAGAGAAAGTTACGAACCTGTTAGTGGGCATGTGCTGGTATTATTATAATTCAGAAATGGAGACGTTCCCATATATAACTTGGCATTGCTTTCTGGAAATCTGACTCTTACACAGTTTTGAGGGTGGGGGCTTGGGGCAACCATCAGTGAGGCAGATCCGTATTATCGAAAGACGTTTTTACGTATGA